GTAATTAATGTAATATGCATCTCATTTTCAGGACCCTATGAATGCCAAGCCACACAGCTGGTTATCTTTCAAAATTTATTCTTAAAACGATGAATCTTAAAGCACAATTCTTTCTATTTTACCCTCTGTGAGGGGAGAACGGGGGATTGACCCTGATGCATTTGATATCTTGCCAAATTATAGACAGGTAAAAAGACAGTGGGCTAAATGAGATGTTGTGTTTGTGAGAGAGGAGCATGATCCTCGTATCCCACCAATATCATAAAAACACTCCTATATTTCCAAAGCATTAGTAGGTTCTGTTTCCATGTGCAGATAACCGGCGCCCTTTGCATTCATGTTTTATCAGCTGATACACTTTGACTTCATCCATCAACAATTTTACCCTCCTGGTCAATGGATTCATTCTTCCCAAACTGAAAACATACATACACCATTTAGTCCTCTCATTTATGACGGGTCCCTACATGTTATGGAGACAGAGAGGGGAACTTTTTCCTTCTGCACTTTTTCCTTCTTCCTTTTCTCTCCTTTTCTTCCTTCCTTTCTTTCTTTTTATTCTGTATAAGTAGTCCTCTACTTACCACCATGACGGAGCCTAAAATTTCTGTTGCTAAGGGAGATGGTGGCCAAGTGAATTTTGCTCCATTTCATGACCTTTCCTGCCATTGTTGTTAAGTGAGTCCCTGCAGTTGTTAAACTAGTCACAGGGTTGTTAAGTGAATCTGACTTCCCCCTTGACTTGGCTTTTCAGAAGGTCGCAAAAGGGGATCCCGTGGCCCTCTGCGACGTGGCGACTGTCATAAATACGAGTCGGGTTGCCAAGCATCCGATATGGGACCACGTCATAAATGTTAAAAATGGTCGTAAGTGACTTTTTTCAGTGCCATTGTAACTTTGAACAGTCACTAAATCAGGGGTTCTCAACCTTGGCAACTTTAAGACTTGTGGACTTCAACTCCACTTCTGGGAATTGAAGTCCACAAGTCTTAAAATTGCCAAGGTTGAGAACCCCTGCACTAAATGAACAGTTGTAAGTCAAGGACTAGTTGTATTGGTTTGTGTTTGTTCGTATGTCCTCTTTAAAACTCTTACAATATTCATAGAGAGGAGTTTATGGATCCCTTCCAACTGGAATGAATCATTGGAGTCCTTAAGAAGAGGCTGGACAGTCCCTTGTCTGAGAAGGTCTAGGGTCTCCTGCTTGAACGGGGGCTGGACTAGAAGACCTCCAAGGTCCCTTCCAGCTCTATTCTATTCCTCAAGTCTCTAGTGAACGTTGCAAAAAAACTATATGTGTACCATGCAACAGTTCATATCATCCTGTAATATTCTTAATATGATCTTGTTAAGGACCAATTGAATATTCAAAGGTGTAATTTTTACATTATACGGAGAGTCCTCGACTTACAACTGCTTGTTTAGTGAGGGTTCAAAGTTACAACAGAACCGAAAAATAACTTAACGATCGTTTTTTCACCCTTACGACTGTCGCAGTGATCAGCATTCTGACACTTGGCAATTGACTCAGACTTATGATGGTCGAAGTGTCCTGGAGGATCACGGGATCCCCTTTTGTGACCTTCTGACCAGTAAAGCCAAAGGGGAAGGTGGACTCGCTTAACAACCGCATCGCTAACTTTTAACAACCGCACTCCGCAGGAAAAATCAAGCAATGGAGCAAAATTCACATGACCGCCGTCTCCTTTAGCGACAGAAATTTTGGGCTCAATTGTGGTCGTAAGTTGAGGACTATGAATTTTCAAATGATTAAAGTTCAGCTTTTTGAGCAGCCTTTGCCTTCAAGCTGGCCTAAACAGGCCCTTATCCGAACATCCGCTTTCCCCATTCAAAGAACCAGATATGTTAATTAAAGAAGCACCTGGTTCCTGAAAATATCACCCATCACTGCATCCACACACTGTGCAATTGCCCAGTGGTACTCTGGTGGCTTGGCTGTAATTACTAACACTTTCCAGGATGGTGTGTGGTGTTTTATTTCCTCCTTTCCCTCTGCCTCATTTATCAACCGTCGCCTCAGGACTGCGTGAGGCCGGTTGGAAAGTTTTGTAGCTAAAGGTAACAGCCCAGGTTTTTCGACTGTCAGCTGGCTCCCTGTTTTTCCTAGGCAGAGACACTCCTTCGTCCTCCTCCAAGCCATCAATCATGGTCTTCTCCAGCCTTAATTCAGTCTCCCATCCGGCTCTCTCTGACCGTTGTGCGTTTTGCCTCCATTTGTAAAACTCCGAAAGAATTGCAACTGGAGGCACTTTTTACAGAATCCCATTTGTCTTCCAGACGTCTGAGATGAAAAGCCTGTTTGGTTAGTGCAAATTATTACGTGAAGTGGAGGGGGCTAAAGTTGGAAATTGCAGGGGCTTCCAGCCTTTGAAAACTCCAAGCCAGACAAGGGGGCCTTTAAAAGAAAAATATTATTCAACACAATGTAGAATATTTGAATGAGCCATTAGATGTTTTCTGTGAGTTAAGGGAGTAGAGAAGAGATGGTAAATTTGTGAACCATGCAGGGCAGGTTTGGAAGAGAGGATAATATAGGAACATAACTAATCATGGTGTTCTTTGAGCTTGGTTGTTTGCATGCAGATGTTTTGTTACTCAACTAGGAAACATCATCCATACATGCAAGTGTGTGGTTTGCTCTGTGTTTATAGAGCAACTTGCTCTGTCTGTGTTTCTGGGGGTGTTGTTTTCTCCTTGGAAGTTCCTTGACGAGGATATTGTTTTTTGCTTAATTGCTAGTCTGGTTTTAATCCCTGCTTCTCTGGGTTTTGGCTGTTGGAGAGGATGTGTGGAATCCTTGGTGGTCCTTGACTTGCAGATGTTTCATTATCCAACTAAGTAACATAATCAGGGTGTGTGAGCTATGGAATTTGCTCCCTGTTTATATAGATGATGATGATGATAATGATGATGATGAAGAAGATGATAATAATAATAATAATAATAATAGTAGTAGTAGTAGTAGTAGTAGTAGTAGTAATAGAGTTGGAAGGAACTTTGGAGGTCTTCTAGTCCAATCCCCTGCTCAGGCAGGAAACCCTATACCATTTCAGACAAATGGTTGTCCAGTCTCTGCTTAAAAACTTCCAGTGTTGGCGCATTCACAGCTTCTGGAGTTAGGTTGTTCCACTGGTTAATTTTTCTGTCAGGAAATTTCTCCTTAGTTTTAGGTTGCTTCTCTCTTTGATTCATTTCCATTAATTGCTTCTTGTCCTGCCTTCAGGCGCTTTGGAGAATAGCTTGACTCCCTCTTTTTTGTGGCAGCCCCTAAGATATTGGAACACTGCTATCATGTCCCCCCTTGTCCTTCTCTTCGTTAAAGAGAAGGACAATTCCAGCAACAATTCCTTATATGTTTTGGCCTCCAGTCCCTTAATCATCTTTGTTGCTCTTCTCTGCACTCTTTTTAAAGTCTCAACATCTTTTTTAAAACTTGGTGACCAAATATGACTTGTCCTGGCAGTTTTAGTCAAGGTTTCCTTTGGTAGTTATTTAACTGGAGATATTGTTTTCTGCTTGATTGTTTGCCTGGTGTTAATCCCTGCTTATCTGGATGTTGGCTTCTGGAGTGGACATTCCTATCTGATCGTCTCTTCTCTTCTATTGGGAGATATCTCACCTTTATCATTTGCTGCCATGTTTTGAATATAAGTTTTTTTCTCCCTCCTCCCTGGATTTTCATCCGTTCTCTTTCACTCTTATTTGCCAATCAGCTGTAAAGGAATGGAAGAAAATAGCTCTTAAGTAATTATATAAGCAGCAATCCTTGTTCTTATTAGCCTGACATAGCTGATACCCTGGGAAAGATAATGAGAGCATCTCCTGCTTTTCATTCTTCAGAAACATGGTGGGTTGAGTTGATTGAATTTTTGTTCTTTGGCAAAGGCTGGCAGTTCAGGTTTTCAAAGGATGTTTTCAAGAGGGCAGGTTGATGATCATCAACAATCGAATGCACGAATATGCTCAAGAGGGCAGGTTGATGATCATCAACAATCGAATGCACGAATATGCCCCGTACAAACAGGTGATCTTTGAACTATTCCTTTGTGATGGGTCTTTACGGGGGGGGGGGAGATGCTAATGATTCTGCAGACATTGCAAATGATTGATTTTCTCCCAGCAGGCCAAGATTCAAAGGTGGTCCTGTAGTGAGAGGTGAATGGGGGCAGGCTTCAAAAGGGTCAGGCTACACAAAACCATCTGTGGATTGATTAGCGAGAGGACCCGATCAAACTGTGACACAGTTTGGAATAGACAAGTGGAAAGGGCCATGGAGATCATTATATTGAAACACACAGACCCACGTAGGGGACTGGAGTCTAAAACATTTGAAGAACGTTTGTAGGAATTGGTTATGTCTAGTTTAATGAAAAGAAGGACCGAGGTGACATGATAGCAGTGTCTCAATATTTGAGGGGCTGCCACAAAGAAGAGGGCGTTAACCTATTCTCCAAGGCACCTGAACACAGGAGAAGAAGCAATGTATGGAAACTAATCAAGGAGAGAAGCAACCTAGAACTAAGGAGAAATCTCCTAATACTGAGAACATTTCATTAGTGGAATGGCTTGCCTTCAGTGCTCCATCACTGGAGGTTTTTAAAAAGAGATTGGACAATCATTTGTCTGAAACGGTATGGTTTCCTGCTTGAGCAGAGGGTTGGATTAAAAGACTCCCACAGGGCCCTTCCAACTCTGTTATTCTGTTACATTCTATTTATTCCTCTCCATCTTTGCTTGGCCACAAGAGTTTTCAATGTTTGATGGAAGCCTATTGGCCTGTGGGGGATTAGCTGACTGTATCCAGGTGAGAACTTCAACCTAGAGGGAGCTCTTGGTCACCTGAGCTTATCCACTGAACTCCGTAGACCTGGAAGAATTCAAAGATGGATTCACCCTCTTTGTATCATAAGCTGGCCTCTTAAATTTTGTCCTAGCTTAAAGCCATGTTCATCATTTGGGGGTTTTCTCTCTCTTTCCAGAGTTATGTCATGCCCAGACCACTGCAGGGCTCCATGAGGATTTATAGAAGATGTCCTGGATCTTGGTGCCTTTGGTGGTATGGTTAATGAAGATAGCTGCCAGCCCACATTCGCTGAGGATTGGTAAGTAAGGAGAATAAGTAACCCTGCTGTGAATCCTATGTTTCATCTTAGCTATTTCAATGCCTGGGAAAGCAATGGTGCGGATCAAAATTGCAATAATTGGAACAGATTTGGATCAAAATGTCTATAATTGGAACCACACTAAGTTGAGCTGCCCATCCAGCTGGTCTCCCAGATTTGAAGAACACAATGTGGTAACTTCTCTTTATGAAAAGCCATCCTTCTAGGCTCGCATTGCATGGACCAGGTGATTTGGATGCAGTATATAAATTCTATTGCTCTTGAATGAAATTAATGAGAATTTAATGGAAGACAAAGTTTATTTTTCATTGACAGGATTGTCCCAAGAATATGAAATTTGTTTGGTTAGATGTGTGTTGATTATAAGCAATAATGGATGAGTGGTGTCACAATTAATTAGAGGCTGGCTTCAAATGTGCATTTATTTTAACAAGCAAATGGGGAAGTAAACAAACAACCCCCGTTTGTTTATTCTGGGTTACAGGCATCAATTAATAGGAACTTGAATGTTCATGCACCGGTTCACCTTGTTTTTAACTGCTTTGTAGCAAAATGTTGCTTGATCTTAAAGATATATACCAAACCACGCTGATATTCATGGAAAAGTTGTTGGGGGGAAAAGGAAAAAAGACAGTAGAGGCAGTTTCATTTAGCTAGACGGGCCCGATTTTATTGCATTTTATTTTTCTTGTAACCTTGCCTGGTAGATGCAAGCTCTTTATCCTGTCTGGAATTCAGCAGGCCAAAGTAGCAGGATGCATCTGAATGTTGGCCAATTTTCTTCCAAGTTTGCAAGCAGAAAGAGGTTATCCGAATGTCTGTTAAAATAAAAGGGAGAATATAATAAATACATTCTCACGAAGAGAATGTGGCATTCTTTATTCTGTGAGCCCAGAAGTCTATGTAAAGGTCTCGTTTTCATTGTATAATCTTCTCTCCATGCTTTTGTGGTTTCTGCTGTCATTTATGTAAGGGAACCATGTCTTGTATTTTAGTAGTTCTTTATTACTATTACTACTATTCCCACTCAAGGACAATTCAGTCCTTGAGAAACTCAGAATAATTATTCCCTCAGGTACCTTTGCCCCTTCCCCTTCCCCCAACTTTGGAAGGAGAATTTGAAAAAGATGATGGTGCCTAACATTACAGACTTCATTGGTGTGCTGAAGTGTAGCCTGGATTCCCAGGAGGGAGGGGTTGCATTCCAGAGGACCAAGAGACAGCAAAGTTTAGATAATTTGGTTGGGAGGAAGAGAGTTAAGATGGCTCTTCCCTAGACGTTCTCGGAGTATATCTTTAACTATGCAAGTAGTTGCTTTAGTTTGGCAAGTATCTGCCTGTAAGTGAGAGACAATAAAGGAAATTGCTTAGGAGAAACTCAGCATGAATTTCTTGGTTTGGGGGGCCTGACAGTTGAGTTCCAATCAGTAAAAATGAAAGACATTTAAAACTACAGAAACAAGCAACCCATCCTGAAAGCAAAGAACATAACAAGAACAGACATGTTACATGGTAGTGACTTAGGAGAACTGAATATTCAAATATTCTTCAAACAAAGGCCTCATTCCATTCCTTTGTAATCAGGAAAAGACAGATATCCACCCAGTCCTTCTATTTCTCCATAGAATGCACTCTTACATGAAGTGAAGGTGGGGGACTATTTGAAGATCTCCCCTCCAGAATAATTCTGCATCTCTGCTAAGATCCTTTTTATGAAGGCCATGGTGCTAGTTTAAAGAGAGAGACCCCGCCACGCTGCCGAGAGAAGCAATTATAACCCTGCAAAATATTCTCGCTTGCGGCAGGCACATCTTTCATTTCTAAAGTATAAATCAAAAAGTGAGTGGCTGCTTTTTGTTAAATCCACCTCAGGATTATGCTTCCGTGGGCTGGCTGTGCTTAGTCACAAAGTCAGCCAGAAGTTCAGACTAGATTGGGCACTTTTCTCTACCTATCCAGTCCTTCTCAAGAACTTGGCATACGCACAGCTTTATATTTGATGGTGTGAAAGGCCTCGTGGCAGGATGGAAGCTGTTCCCAGTAAAACGTGCTTTTTGCAATTGACCGGTGGTGATTTTGTCGGTGGTGCCGATGGTGTTCAAGTGGTGATCCAGTCGTTTGGGGATTGCACTATTATTATTTATTGTTCATTGTACAGTCAGCCGATAATATTTGGCATTTTTCTCCATCAAAGACTCTTTGACAAGGACCTGGGATGGGCAAATACAGGGAGACTTGAGGTACAATTGAGCCTTCTTTAACATGGTGAAGACTAAAGTTTAAAAGTTTGGTTTGAAGGTGCAAGATACCACCTTTTCCCCCCGTTTCATGGCATGGGCGTTTTGCTTCTGTCGAGGGGTGCCATTGTTGAGCTGTGCTTAAGGCATTGGTTGGCCTTAATCCGGTGCTGTTAAATTTGACAGGCTTAGTTGTTTTGTGACTGTCGCTGAGGTCTTCTTCCTTCCACGTTTTCACTGCTCCAGAATAAAGAGAAGTATATTAGCCATCCAAATTTCCCCCATCACTTCCTATCTGCTATAACTTTGGAGAATATGTTGCTGTCATCAAGCAATTAAAGATGTAAAGCCCTTCTTAGAAGAACACGGGCAAACTTAATTGGATTAAACAATGAAATAAATGTTTGAAAAGTATTCATGCTGATCAGCTAGGATGAAAAAAATAAATGTATAGACAGCTTGGGAATAATTGCTGCCTTTTGTATTTTCAAAGGGAAAATCAAACCGCATCGCATCATTCTCTAGTCATGACTCTAAGTAAGCTGAATAATGGACTTAATTAGACCATCAACCAGGGTTTCTTCCCTGAAAAAAACTGAGCTGTCTGACACTTAACCTGGGTTCATTTAGCAAAGGTTGGGAATGATATTGGGTTCATAACTTAAGATCAATTGATCTTCATGCGTCTCAAAATTATTCCTTCCTTCTTTCCTTTTCCCCTTTCTTCCTTCCTCCCTTCCCTCTCTCCCTGCCTACCTGCTTCCCTTCCTTCCTTGCTGTTCCCCTTCTTTCCTCATTGTTTCACTTCCTTTCCTTCCTTCCTCCCTTCCCTTTCTCCCTGCTTGCCTGTTTTCCTCCCTTCCTTGCTGTTCTCCTTCCTTCCTCATGGTCTTCCTTCCTTCCTTCCTTCCTTCCTTCCTTCCTTCCTTCCTTCCTTCCTTCCTTCCTTCCTTCCTTCCTTCCTTCCTTCCTTCCTTCCTTCTTCCAGTTTGCAGTGCATTCCATTGTCAAGAAAATGTAGGTTTTAGGTAAAATTGCATCCATAACCCATGCATTAGGAAATGGATGCAATTCCTGTAAATCCATTTATGAAGGAAAAATTTGTTCCAAAATACCTTCATGCAAAAGGTCATGCATTGTTTTAGCAAGATTTGCTTAGGGGAAAATGCAAATCTGAAGTAAAGTGGACAAGCTTCTCTCTCCTTCCATTTAGTTCCCTGTGTTCTACTCTGATTGACCCTAGCTCAGTGGTTTTCAACCTTTTTAATGCCGTGACCCCCTCGGTCGTAAGTTGAGGACTAAACTGGTCGTAAGTCGAGGACTAAACTGGTCGAAAGTCGAGGACTACTTAACCGGTCTTAAGTCGAGGACTTTCCCTTCCCAGGAGTGCCGCGCATGCGTGGTACCGTCCCCTCCGCAGGCCGAGGCGTAGCTGGCAAGTGGCAGAGACGGAGCAGGCCGACCACCGGCTGCGCCACCAGCTGGCCCAACCCAAGGGAGGTAAGGCACCCACCGGAAAAGGGGAAAAAATGGCGGACAGCCTTGCTTGGCAACCCCCGTGAAATGGTCGATCGACCCCAAATGGGGTCGCGACCCATAGGTTGAGAACCGCTGCCCTAGCTATCTAGCACTTCTCCGTGACCTGCATTCCTTTAATCGAACTAGACTTTAGCTCAGGGCTTTCCAAACTTGGCAAGTTTGACTTGTAGACTTCAACTCCCAGAATTCCCCAGCTGGGAAGGAGGAGGAGGAGGACGACGATGACTGTGGGTCCTAAGTGCTCTCTGAGCTTGGTTGTTTTCTTGTAGACATTTCATGACCCCACTAGGTAACATCATCAGTGCTAGAAGGGAGGGGGGTTTGTGGTGTGGAAGAGGAAGAGGACTGTGGGTCCTCGGTGCTCTCTGAGCTTGGTTGTGTTCTTGCAGACATTTCATTACCTAACATGGTGACGTGATCAGAGTGCTATTTTGCTGTGGCATCTGGAGGGAGGTTAAGAGCAGACGGGGGTGTTTCTACTAGGAGTGAAGGGCTGGGGATCTATTCCCAGGTGCCTTCAAAGAAAAAGAAGAAAGAAGTCCAGGAACAAAACACAAGAAGAGTTTTCCTGCTGCTTCCAAGGGTCCTACTAATGCATTCCTTGTGGGTTTGCTTTCCTTCTCCCCAGAGCTGCGGGTTTTGTGTCTGTGTGTGTGTGTTTATATAAAGCTAAAATGAACTTTATACAGAAATGAAGGCTGAAATGAGTTCCCTTATCAGAGCCAATTTGTGAAGCAGAAAGTGGTGAAAGAATTAAGACAGTTAAACAGGGGAAAAAAAATCTACTTGCTGGTGATGAAACAGTGTTTAAATGACTGAAATTATCTCTGGATTACCCTTGTTAGACACTGCTTTATTTAATCAACTCAAGGCTTAATCTGCTGCAAGCATTCCTAACTGAAAAGGGACTCCAAGAGAGAAAATTATTGGGGTGTCTTTTTCCTTATATGGAAGCCCTGGACGTTGTGGTCCAGATTTCTTTGCAATTTCCAGAAAGTTGCTCGCCTCTATCAAGGCCACAGGGAGGAATGTTTTTGAGAGTCAGAAGGGCAAATCCTATTTGCATAATCTGAACGCCATGAACATAATTTACACAAAGTAGACCCTTGTGTTGGTTGCTGAGTTCTGCCTTCCTAGCTTCAAAGAACAGCAGAATATGGTGAGAGTGGTGTTGTAAATAGCCGAAATTCAGAAAATCAAAAC